AAGAGTTTTTTGTTGTTGTGTAAGACACGCAATTACAACTTCTGTGGGGCGTGAAGGAAAAGTAATGTAACTAGTAGTGTGTCTAATTACTGCTGCCAGAAAGTAATAAGTAACGTAATATTACTTTTGAAAGGAGTAACTCGTAACCAGTAAAAATTGCTTCTAGCCATTGCCAATAAGAACGAAAATCATTCTGTAGAACCATCTGAAGAATTAAATCTAATGCTTATATACAAGTTAAAGTGACCGTTCACCCGAAAATGAAAATCCTGTACTTCACTAACTCTTCAGTTGTTCTGATTGACTTCCATAGAAAGAAAAAATAAAATAAAAATCCCATGGAAGTCAATGGCTACCATCAACTGTTCGGTTCCCAACATTCATCAGAATATCTTGTGTTTGACAGGTTTGGAACAACATGAAAGTGAATAAATGACTATTTTAATTGTTGGGTGAAATATCCCTTTAAGTCACTTCACCAGTAGTTAAAAGCAAACCAGGAACTAGTCAGTATTCCAGTAGCAGCCAACTAATTACTACCACAAACTTTAAAAACTACTAGTTAATTACTAGTACACTAGGACCGGTTTAATGTTTCTAGTTGGTCTGTTTCCAAAAGAAATTGATACAGAAAGCTACATCAAGCCTGAATGCATGCGGAGTTTAACAATCACTTCGTGCAAATCAAAAAGCTACGCCACCAAACATACTTAAAACGCACTGGTTTATATTTCATAGGTTCAGTATAACATTCATAGATTATAAAACAACATGAATATGAACAGAACAGCAGAACTACAGCTACATAAGACAGTGTAAAACAGAAGGGAACAAACTTTAGAGTTCGTTTACATCTGGGCTCATTAACGGGCACAATTAAATACGTTTGTAACCAATTAACATAGCCCATACACACACACACACACACACACACACACACACGGAGAACCGGGCCCTGGATCCGATGTTTCTGACACAGTGCAACATTCAGCACACAGCACAAGCATCACCAGTGGACTCGGAGCAGAGCAGCAGGCCTGCGTGTCTCAAACGAGTCCTTGAGGTCAGTGATGCGGGTTGCAGACGGGGGGCAGGACCCGGCGGGAGTTGGCTTTGACCCAGGGGTGCTCCATCACGCTCCGGAGCGGCAGACGCATGGCTGGACTGTGACGCAGCAGCTTGGAGATCAGATCCCGAGCGCCGTCAGAAACCAGCTTGGGGAACTGCAGATCCACCTGCACACACACACACACACACACATCCAACACACATCAGCACAAAACCTGACAGCCGCTTGTGCCAGCTTCTGTGTTAGGAACACTTTGCATTCGCAAAATCCGTTCGGAATGTTCTTATTTTTCTTCATACTTTCCTTAGAATTCCAGAAAAGGACATTCTTAACCCATTTAATCCGGGACCATAAAAAGAGTTTAAAAACCTTACTGACTGATGTTTTAGTGCACTTCCTGCAAATATGATAAAAATAAAGGGTCTGAATGAAATGTGTGCAGTCAGCGTCACATGTTTAGTGCAGATCGTCACAGGACCAGAGCGGTTTAATTCCTCTTTGCACCGTGAGCTGCATCAAAGCTCTAAAACAAAAGGCTTGTCAAGTATGTTAACAAAGATATGAGAGATTTTTGGTACATGTTATCTTTAAGGTGTCTGGTATTAATATATGAACTCACCATTATTAAACTTTGTTGAGTGTTGTCATAGAATGAGTAAACATGTTGATGGTCCGGTGGGATAACAGTGGTTTGCTGACCATGATATTACTGTGCTTGATTGGCCAGCCAACATGCCTGACCTGAACCCATATGAAATCTATGGGATATTTTTAAGAGAAAGATGAGAAACACTCGATCCAACAATACAGATGAGCTGAAGGCTCATTAGTGCCTCAGCACTGACACAGGTTGATCGCTTCCATGCCACACCTCACTGATGCTGGACCCCCGGCCAAGTACTGAGTGCAGAAATCAACATACTTTAAAGAACTTCAGCTTTTCGGTTTTACAAATCCTTTTTTTGATCGATCTTAGGAAATATTCTAATATTTTGAGATACTGGATTTTTGACTTTCATGAGCTGCAAGCTCTGATCATCAAAATTAAAACAAGAATGTGTTTTACTTTACATGTAATGAATCTAGAATATATGAAAGTTTCACTTTTTGAAATAAGTTACAAAATATAATGACGTTTTTCACGATATTCTAATTTTGAGATGCACCTGTACATATAAATTAAAATGCAACATTTAGTGCAGCTTTCACTAACAACTGCAATGACAAACTGCAATAAAAAGTTCAAATGTTACAAACAAGCTACAATATTGGTGTTGCAATACTGGTAGCACTAATATAACAATTTTATGATACATGTTACAATAAAGTAACTATTTTGAAATACATTGATGGTTGTATTTTAATTTTTTTTGCATGTAATCTCAGAATTTCTATCAGTGTTGTACAAGGGTTATTATGCATAACATAGCTGGGCTGACATCTATAACAATTTTTATGACTGCAGACATATGTTCATTCAGTGCACACATTACCCCACCGGTCACAATTGTGACCATAAAATAAAATTTTTCACACTCTTTTCCAAAAATAATTACAAAAATAATAATAATTTTAAACCGGAGCGGCAGACGCATGGCTGGACTGTGACGCAGCAGCTTGGAGATCAGATCCCGAGCGCCGTCAGAAACCAGCTTGGGGAACTGCAGATCCACCTGCACACACACACACACACACACATCCAACACACATCAGCACAAAACCTGACAGCCGCTTGTGCCAGCTTCTGTGTTAGGAACGCTTTGCATTCGCAAAATCCGTTCGGAATGTTCTTATTTTTCTTCATACTTTCCTTAGAATTCCAGAAAAGGACATTCTTAACCAATTTAATCCGGGACCATAAAAAGAGTTTAAAAACCTTACTGACTGATGTTTTAGTGCACTTCCTGCAAATATGATAAAAATAAAGGGTCTGAATGAAATGTGTGCAGTCAGCGTCACATGTTTAGTGCAGATCGTCACAGGACCAGAGCGGTTTAATTCCTCTTTGCACCGTGAGCTGCATCAAAGCTCTAAAACAAAAGGCTTGTCAAGTATGTTAACAAAGATATGAGAGATTTTTGGTACATGTTATCTTTAAGGTGTCTGGTATTAATATATGAACTCACCATTATTAAACTTTGTTGAGTGTTGTCATAGAATGAGTAAACATGTTGATGGTCCGGTGGGATAACAGTGAATTTAAGAACTTAAAAATTATAATATCGTGAAAGTGTTATTTTTTTTGTAATTTATTTCAAAAAGTGAAACTTTCATATATTCTAGATTCGTTACATGTAAAACATTTTAAAAGTTCTCTTGTTTTAATTTTGATGATTAGAGCTTACAGCTCATGAAAGTCAAAAATCTAGTATCTCACAATGTTCAAATTAAGTGCGGTCCACAATATCGATACTGGGACAGCGGAATCGATACTTGTATCGTCAAATCTCTGTGACGATACATCATCGTATCAATGTATCGAACACTGAACTAAAAGAGACGTTCACTTGCAGAACGCAAGCTTCTAGAGGCACATAAGTCTGAAGTAGTGAAAGTTTAGCAAAACACTCCTCTCTAGAGTCAATTTCTTTTGAAGTGTTTCTGCTGACAGACAGCGAGGGTTCGTTCACACTAAAACAGAGGTATTTCAGAATAAAGCAGAGGCGGTGAGTAAACGCAGACAGACCTTAGTGATGCGCTTGTATTTGAGTGTTGTCATAGAATGAGTAAACATGTTGATGGTCCGGTGGGATAACAGTGAATTTAAGAACTTAAAAATTATAATATCGTGAAAGTGTTATTTTTTTTGTAATTTATTTCAAAAAGTGAAACTTTCATATATTCTAGATTCGTTACATGTAAAACATTTTAAAAGTTCTCTTGTTTTAATTTTGATGATTAGAGCTTACAGCTCATGAAAGTCAAAAATCTAGTATCTCACAATATTAGAATATTTACATTTGAGTTTCATTAAATGACCGTCCCTACAGTATAAATAACGAGTATCTCTTATTCTTTGAAACCACAATAATGGGGAAGACTGCTGACTTGGCAGTGGTCCAGAAGACAATCATTGACACCCTCCACAAAGAGAGTAAGTCACAGAAGATCATTATTTCACAGAGTGCTGTATCAAAGCATTAAATGCAAAGTTGACCGGAATGAAGAAATTGGGTAGGAAAAGGTGCACAAGTAACAGAGATGAGCGCAAGCTTGAGAATACTGTCAAGCAAAGCCGATTCAAACACTTGGGAGAGCTTCACTGAAGCTGGAGTCAGTGCATCAAGAGTCACCAAAAGTGATTTTGCATCTCAAGTAAAGTATCTTAACTTGGAACATTGTAGTATGAAATTTTCATGATAATTGCTGAAGTTTGGTATACAGTATTGAATTACATTATAAAAACACAAGCATTGTTCTCTTAAGTTTAATACCTTTTAAAAAATTTTTTTTAAATAAAATACACGAAGCTGAATCAAGTAGACAAATGTTTCAAAGCGTTACTTTCACATAATTGAGATGGTTAATATATATATATATATATATTTTAGTTAAAGTGTGTAGCTTCGCTGCGTGTCATTTATGTTAATTTTTGAATGTCTATATAGTTTATTAATTTTATTTCAGTTTTAGTTTTTGCAGTACATCAACTTAAATTAAAGTGAGAAATGTTGCCTTGGCACCCAGCTGAAATTAATCTTGCATTTTATTTGTTTACATTTATTTTATTTCAGGAATGTTTTCTTGTTTAATTGTTTTAGTTAACCCTGGTTTCAAACCGTGGATGGAAACTAGAGTTATTCCTCTTGAAGTGCCTGCGATAATAAACCACGCATGTTCATGTCTAGTCTTGATTTACGAACGTTCAGATGTTTGTCCTGGAAAACGAGACGAACAGAACTGAAGGGTCCTGGTGCATTATGGGAGTTTGTTACCTGAGAGAGGGCGCGTGGACGGACCAGCCGAAGTCTGCGATCTTGAGCTCTCCTCTGTATCCCAGCAGAAGGTTCTCAGGTTTGATGTCTCTGTGGATCACCTTCTTCTCGTGGCAGTACAGAAGCGCGTCAGCCAGCTCCTCCATGTACTGCAAACACAGAGAGCGTGGTCATGTGACTTATAGCGGCACCACTCTGGATTCATTCAGTAGTAGTAGTATATTTTTATTTAACGCCATGTCAGAATCTCAGGCTATTTTCAAGGCAAAAACTATTAAAAAAAAAATACAAGTACAACAAATACAATAAAAACCTGAATAAATTGAGAAATCACTATTTTTTTTGTCTCAAATAGAGATCACAATTCTCTCACGATTCTGAACTAAAATAATGTGTGACAAAATATCAATTTCTGGAGTCTATTTAGAAGCATTTAATTTGAAATAGGACTGCAAAACGATTAATCGCGATTACTCGATTCAAAATAAAAGTTTGTTTACATACTATGTGTGTGTACGGTGTATATTTATTATGTATATATAAATACACACACACTTTACAAATATTTGTATGTACATTTTTCCTTAATATATACACACACACGTATGTGCGTGTACATATATAAATACATAATATACACAGTACACACATACAGTATGTAAACAAACTTATTTTGAATCTATTAATCACGACTAATTGTTTTGCAGCCCTAATTTGAATTAATT